AATAATATTTACAAATTATCATCCTGTGTTAAGAGATCTTAAATTTTTTTATGCTATTGTCGTTTATAATACTATTAAAMAGCTTTGCTTGTGATTCTAGTTGATTGTCGAAGAGCCAACTCGTATTTTTAAAGGCATGTATGGAGATAATGTATGCCTAAGCTTCGTAATTGCAGTCTCATGCAAACACACACACATATACAACGTTTAGTAGCCAGGAGTGGGGTCTACGAAGCAGCGTACAAAGAGGAGATCAAGAATAGGAAAAACTATACAGCTATATTCTATCCGATTCTTTCGCAGTATCAATTCTATATGTTTGCCTTTTTTTCTTTTCTTACTTAGTACCGTCGTATCCGTTTCATTGCTGCACTGGATTGCCACGATACGCTGTACCCCATCGCCGGGTTACGTCGCGCCACGTTGCAATTTTTTAAATCATCTCCATTTTAAAGAAGTTGTCACTTCAAAAATAAAAAGTAACCTGATGAGACTCGATCCAGCGATCTATAGGATACCTGACTAATTCTTTCAAAGATTAAAATGTCGAACGTAGCAGATAAAAAAGAAATCAGTATTGTATTTTGTTTTTTAATTACAATAGAATTTTGAAAATTTATTTTGCGTTGAAAACTTTAATATATAGAAATGTGGTTAAAGTATTAAAAATTTACAATAAGTAATATTCAATGAATCTTATTGTGTGAAAATTTGTTGTTTTTTTGCATCGGTTTTACAGAGTTATAGGACCTTGAAAAAATGTTCCTAACTAGCAGTGCTTAGTGGTTTGTGAATTTAAAAGAATAAAATGTGTCTTTAATCGTTTACGTAATACATCGTATGTAAACATTTTTTATTTTTAAAAAAGAACAATGGAAATTCCCAATGTCATTGCAAGGCCTAAGAAAGACATTTTCTATATAAGACTACATCGACAATGCGTCTTGCGTAAAAGTTTTTAAATTGCTAGACCAAATCGCACGAGTAAATATTTTAAATTAATTTATTCGTGCGGTTACATCAAGCATATGTTTAATAAAATAGCTTCATAGTAAAGTTGATCTAGATCATTCTTTATGTTTTTATAAACTAGATTTTATTATGTTGTTATTCTATCGGATATTAATAGAGCTTCATTGTTCTTATATACTAATTTAATTCTAATTAGAAGTGCAATACTTAAAACTGGAGATATTTTTACTAAGTAAAGTATTCCTATTAGATAAATGAAAATAGCAATAAAAATATTAATTATGAATTGAATTTATAATAAATGTTATTAAACGGTTTTCAATATTATACATTTTTATTTTATTGTAATATGTACAAGCTTTGATAAGGCATTAAAAATGTATGATAAGTATTTTTGAAATAACTACATAGCAATATATTGATTTTCTTGTCCTTTTTACAAATTTATAAGACCTTTCCGAAATACTCCTACTTAACAGCTTTTACATATTTCTGAATTTAAAAAAAGGAAGCACTTTAAATTGTTTAACCTTTACACTGTATGAAAACATGTTATAATTAGAAAAAATACAATAGGAAGTCACAGGTCATCGAAATCGTTGGGAAAGATATCTTTAAAATAAAAAAATAATCGTGTGTGTAGATCACACGTGTTAGAAGTGAAACCTTGGAAAAACAAAGTTTCGAAAGAATGAGACAAATGCACAGTTTTAAGAGAAAGATAATTGTTTAAGATTTATTTATTATAATATTATTACCATATACATATATCAAAAGGCGATGGTATGATCTTGGGGTGGGGGTAGCTTAAAAAAAACTATCACTTTCAAATTGTATCAATTAAGAAAGATTGCCGAATATATGCGATAGCCATAGATAGAAAAAGAAATTGTAGATTGCTTGTCGACGGAAAGATAAGCCGTCCAAACCTAAGTAAATATAATATATCCTTCTTTGTAACTCAGGTAGATGATAATCTTTCTGTGAATTAGAGATATCTTTATAGATTAGCACAAAAAAGTATTTCTTTTTGTGTTTCAACTAATACCTTTGGATGCTGTAAAAAGAGGGGAAAGATTGTGGTCGTATTTTTTTTCCATTCATCGAATTTTGAATTACAACGATTTTAAAATCAATTTTTCATTTTTAATTTTATTATTTACATATTTTTCAATTTAAAGAATTTTTTTTTTATATTTTTAATATAAATTACATTATTGTATATTTATTGGAAATATAACACAAAATAAGGTTTATTTGTTTGTGTTACGGGCGTATCTAGTTTCTTTTATTTAAAAACTTTTCCATTTTATTGAAAAATTAGTATAAATTTCTTAAATACGCTAACATTATAATAAAATAATTAAAAACCAAGTCTTTAGATTTTTATAAAAAATATATTTTACAGTGTTGTTTAATGTTTTTTCTCTGATGTATCTCGTAATAATTTTTTTTTTTTTTTTTTGTAAAATATTGCTGACAATACAATTATTATATTCTATATATTTTGTAATTAAAAATTATAATATTTGCGAAATAAAGAAATAATTAAAAATTTTTCAAAATAATAAAATCATTTTTAAATAGGAAAAAATGACACGTTTGGTGAAAAAAAAAAATCATGTGTGCAGATCACACGTGTTAGAAGTAAAACCTTAAAAAATTAAGTTTCTAGTATTCTAGAATCAGACGAATGCACAGTTTCAAGAAT